GTGAAGAGACCCAATGTCCATGTTGGCGATTAGACACACCACATGAGGATTTGCCTGCTGCTAGTAAGGTTTGTTGCATGAGACCAGCGAGCTTCAATTGCATCCAGTGAGCGTTTATCCAACTCGCATGACAGCGTACTTTGATAGGCATTCAGAACAGCTGGCTTCGCCAGTTGGCTGGTGTCAATGCGCTCACAACGTCGTCGTGGGCGTCCGCCAAAACGCATCCGAATGTCAGCACATACAAGTGCATGGTCGGTGTCCACACCTGTGCTCCAAATCGAGCGACAGTTCTGGACGCAGCCTCTCCATCGGTAACTGATAGCAATGTGATCGATTTGCGTCCATAGCTGGTTCGAGGCTGGTGGGCGCCAAGTCACCCTCCGGCGGGTGCTGTGTCGGAAATTAGTGCTCGCAAGAAATAAGCGAGCATCTTCACACAAATGAAGTAACCGCTCACCGTTATCATTACGGAGCCTATACCATGTTGGCCGCCCAGATGCAGCTCATCTGTGGATAATTTTCCAACTTGAGCGTTCAGATCCCTAGCCAGCACTACAGTGTCCGAGCTTCTTCTGTGGCTAAGGAGCTCGTTCAGTTGACGATAGAAGTCGTCTTTTACCGAGTCATCGCTACAGTTTGTCGGTGCATAGGCAGCGATAACGAATAGACACCTGTTAGTCCCACGCGACTTCGAAGCTTTGAACGAGCCAGCCAATCGGACCACACACATCCGGCTACTAATTGGAATCCAATCAACCAGAGTAGCTTCAGCCCGGGGACTCAGGGCAATACCAACACCGGCTTGGCCGGTGCTCGAAGCTGCATCGTCACCGGATAGGCGCAACGAGAAAGTGCTGCTAGTGTCACCTGAAGGGGATCGCAGAGTGATCACAGAGCTCGAGTCTTGCAGGCGGGTCTCCGATAAGCAGCAGATATCAATCGATAGGATCTCTAATGTTCGAGCAAGTGCTGCCTGTTGACCGATCTGAAGCAATGTGCGAACACTGAGGCATGCCAATCTGAAGGAGGATCGAGGGCTCCAAATGCAAGCCGATGAACTGGAATGGGCCGCTTGCTTGGACATGGGCCTGTTGACAGGGCAGGAATGACGCTCCGCGTTCACATGTGAGTTGAAACTAAAAAGCAAGCGACTATTGAAGCAACGTGGGGGAGGGCCAAGAATCGGGGGGTTGAAAACAGGGGGGATAAAAGTGAAGCTGGAATGGGACGATAAGGGTGAAAAAGCGCAAGAGGGGGAATAAGAAGACGGGAAGGCTTGAGCAGTAGCATCCAAACCCCTATCCACCCTGCCCGATGCAGCAGATAGGGCACCGTTGATTATCCTCTGCGGTGGCCAGAGCATCAGAAATTTGTTTGAAGTGTGATTCATTGTATTGTGTGGGCAGGATACTGTCAGGTTACCCAGGCCTTGATAGGAGAACGATTAGGGTTCTCAACCAAAGCCTTTGGTTAAAACCCTGATCGCAAGGCAGCGGGTTTGGCACTGGGCTACAAGGAGTCCGTTTTAAGGAATAAGGAGCCACCCTCATTCCAACCCCTAACCTGGAGGACCAGGAGGCTGTTTGTCTGGCCTCTAACCATTGACCAATCTGGTATGAGTGGCTCTGAAGGTGCAAAAATGCACCACCTAGTATAGCTCAATGGATCACAGAGGCACACAAACCATCGCACCACGGTAAGGTCCAGCCTCATTGAGATGGATAAACGGACATTACCATCCTCCTTTTGTAAGAGCACCACCGGGGCTGCCCATGGGGAAGCAGAAGGCCGTATAATCTTCTTTTTCGGCATTTCATCTATCAGCTTTTGTAGTTCACCCTGCCAATGTAGAAGGATTCGTCTCGAAGGATTTCAATTGGAATCACATCCTCCGTGTCGATTCGGAATTTTAAAAGGTCAGTTCAACCCAGATCACCCGTTTGCCATGCAAATGCTTCTGAGTGGATCTGTAACAAAGCCTTAGGCACTTTCAGGGTATGCTCGTGGGTGGATAGGTGGAGGAAACGAACGAAGGCACTGAGGTTTTGTTTATTGTCTTAATTCTCATCATAAATCTCGAAGCCTTCCAAACTATCACTTGCGTAAGGTCTAAGCAAAACAGTGCAATTGTCTGTGATTAGCTGACATATATCCAAATCCAAATGACATCTCAAACGGCATAACAGATCCATCCCAATGATTACATCGAAGGGAATCCTAAGAATCTTGGTAATGTACAATGGTGATGTGATATTGGCTTATCGTTGACTAATATCCACACTGGTTATGCCCTTGATCCACTTGGTAAAACTGACAGTTTGCGCCTTTACGCGGTCTATATTTCGCCGATGAGCCAATAGCTCATCACTATTATACATCACTAAGGTTCTACACACTCACACTAGCCTCTCCCCTGAGCTCACCAATTATTTGAATGACCTGACCACCAGAGGCGATATGGCTGTCCGATGTCATGTTGCACAGTACTTCAACCATGCTTGCATTTTTTAGTTTATATTGCATGCCATTGTCCTGTCTCAGTCCTTCCAGATACGCCAGCATGACACCCGGGTCCAACACAACGAGAGCTGTGCCACCAACTTGACAGGACATGTAATCCAACATGTGAAAATACAGTACGGAGCCCTTCATGGTTTGTCAAACACGGTGTGGAAGAAAGTGGAGATGAGAAGCTCATGATACACCTGACTTGTGGCGATGCACACAGCGAATAGCTACCCTTAGACGCCTATACGACCATAGGAACCGTGGCATGTGAATCTCGGATTAGAGAGGATGTTCTCTGGGGCTCCTTTTAGCCGTAGCACCACGAGCAGGTGTCATAAGCGGAATCAGCGACAACTCCCGGTGCCAGCTTAAGTAAGATGCATTCCAAGCATCTGGCGTAGGGTATGTCCGCGATCCAGGTACCCTCCCTCCCGCTAATTAGATTCGCCCGAGGGCCATTGAGCCGCCGAAGCACAATACATGCGAGTATCTTAGAAGTAAGATGGAGGGGAGTGATACGTTGATTATCTTTTCCTAGACGTCCCTTAACTATCTATGGAGATTCGGCTGGTGTTCCCGGATCAAATCTTCGTATGCGCGCGCGACCTCGCCGTATTCTTGGCACATGCGCGACTACTGATGTTCTCCTGGCTACGAAATAGCTGTGCGGCGCACCGGTTTACTCCATAGGTTTTTTTCTTCCACTTACGAATGTTTGAACCTCAGATAACAATCACCACTTCGAGTGCTTTCCCATTTTTCGCAATGATTAATATCATCTAGACGCTACGTCAGTCACCAGTTTACCGTTGCCGTCTTCCAGGACGAAAGAATCTCGCAGGATAGAGGAGACTTTTACATTCAAACAACACTAGGTGGCGATGCATATTCTTATTCCGAAGGGTTGCCAATGAACCACCCGGACTACTCCTGGCTTAATGTTCACTTTGATGCGTTTGTGGGTCAGTCAGGTGTCTACCTTTTTCTGTCATTGTCTCAACCACTTGGGTCTCCTGTACCAAGGCATTGACACTCCACTGGTCACAATAGTATGACGTTGGTCTTTTCCACCTCATACATCCGCGATAAGCAACAACTTCCCTGGTCAATCCGGAGGGTCCTAATCGGAGGCGACGTTGCGCCCACTCTAAAACCGTTTTTAGCAGACGACCTTCCGTGGTTTAACCTAGTGAATCTGTAATCCAGTGACCCATTAAATGTTCGGACGCTTCGAACAGAGCGCACGAACACCCCTGAATACCTTCTGCATACTACCAATTCCAATCGGTATACGACTTCTTCGCTTCATTCTTCTGTGGTCGTTGGGGTTACGATTCAAACTGACATATTTTCCTCACACTTTTCAGGTAACAGTGACTAATACGCATCCACGAAATTGCACACCGCATAATTCGGAATGTTAAGCCATAAGTGAGCGCCAACGACTATATGGTCGGGTTAATACTTGCTTCTCCAACTCCATCGACAATCGTGTACTGAATTGCTGGGAACTTTATCTACAACAGTCTGTCTTGTCGCAATTTGACGCGTCCCAATCACTATCTGTGCCATACCTTCACATCAGTTTATGCACTTATGTATTCTGCCTATCCCTCGTTCCACTAGCATTCGCAGCTCCTACGCCAGTTACATTTTGCTTTTAATTGCTATCTTCTCTGCTAGCTCCATTAACACAAATTTCATGCATCTTTGTTTGGCGATTACCTTCTGTTTGCCGTACCCGATATTCGAAGTCAATTGCCTTATGTAACCGCTCCTAGGGTTATCACCGCTGAAATTCCTATGCACACTACCACTGTGTATTGGACGGAGAGGCTACTCTCGGTGATGGTCAAATGCACCTACACATCTTGGTGGGCCAGAAATCCGGATGTTACGCAAGCGTCACTTTTCCATGTAGTGCATCGCTTCTTATCTCGACGCCATTTTTGTTTTGTCCCCGTTTCTCCTCAGCATCTTTGTTTGCATCGTAGTTGTTAGCCGCCTCCTTGTTTAGAAGCTCCTCTGAGAACTTCCTTTTCGTCCTAACACCACACAAATTTTTTATCTGACTATTCTAAAATGTCTCTAATTTATCTACCGGTGTCTCTTCTGTGTGCTAAGGATTTCGCCCGAAAGACTGTAGCTTATGAAGTGCATTTGGCAGTCTTGTCTTGTGCCGGCTTTTTAGCTTTGTTTACTTTGTGGTAGAATAAAAGTGGTTCGCCGTTAATCTGCGAACGCTGAAAGCAAGCTCCGATTCACGCATCGATGCGGCATTGTTTCTTTGCAACCGTTTGAGGCTTTTCTCATTTTGACAGACTCACAAGACACTTAAGTAACCACAAAAATCACCTTCATACGACATTCCGGCCACCTCCTACTCTCCTGTTTTATTAGCGATTTTTTCTTATTCTCAACGTATCGATTTTACACTACCACGACTGCATCAGTTTCCCTCAATTTTCGTCTGTTTTTTTGCTACTCTAGATATTTCCCAATATCTTGCATAAACGAAGTCTGGCTCAAATATCGACATCACATTCTGGAGCGCATGCTACACAGCTATGATGGACATGCGTTCGACCAGCTTTTACTCTTCACTCCATTTTATCCCAACTGCTTTGATGCGATCAAGTGAGTGCTTCTGTGAGTTGTTCACAATTCCTTTCCCAGTGCTTCGATTCTCCACGTCTGCCCGCTGAAAATTATCATCTTCCGTTTGCAGTAATTGATTCGATTCTCATATGTGTATTCTCCTGTGCTTTTCCTGTTCTGCTTCTGCGTCCCCATCGTAACTTCATCTTGCCCGGCGTTATAATAAAACACCAAGTGCTCGTTTATATATAAATAAATAAAGGGTATATCCCTCGACGGCGCAAGGCACTACCCAATCGATTTGTCTGGTCATTATGTACAATTGGGATCACATGGGACGGATAATGTTTCCTCGTTTTTTCAGACTAGTCCCCAAACTATTTTTTGGGCTGATTGATCAGTTGCATTATTCAAATAGATGGATTGATTTCTGATGGTAATAATAAATGCATATAAGTCTAAATGTTCTAGTAATAAGTAATTAAGTAGCTAAGTAAGTAATACGACCAACCGTGGATTCGTCTCCGAGGGACTTGCTTCCATGCAGGTTAGTCCCTCAAAATGTTTCACCCGCTTTACCTACAGGCGCTCTCTCCATTCTCGCATAACTCCACCTACTGAAACCCTTGTGTATTTATTGGTAATTTAAACGGTCACTTTTTCGTAAGATTCAAATCGGCATCGATTGTTGTTAATCCCATTGCGATATCAGTGGTATGTGTCCACTATGTCACCCCACTCCAGTGAATCCCACCAATCACAGACTTTGTGACAGTATCGGGTTCTCGTTTATCCTTCAAAAAATGCGGTAACTAACGTGTTTGATCTCAATGATCGAGACTAGGCTGATATCGTAAACCACCTAACTTCACATGATGTGCCTCCACCTATAAAACCGCTACCATCTGGAAGGACCAAGCATGAGTCCAGCTCTTTCAAATCTGATAAAGATAAGCATCTGGTCTCCTCTGTAAGGTTTTGTGCAGTGGTCGACTGGGCAGTCTGCTCCAGATAGCTCAACCGCGTCAGTGTGTGGTTCACCTAATCTCACGATATATGGACCGATGGTCTGTACTAGTGCTATCATGGCAACCATAGGAGATGGCACACCTTTTCCAATACATGTAATATCCCATAATCGACCGTAAACGATGGCTTAATCATCTTATTTCGGTGCTCTGCTGCTACCATTTCAAACACCTTTTCCCTTTCTACTTTTGTACAGTCGAACTTGGCTACCGGACGTTTTCGAAATGTGGTATTTGATATCGGACTACGGTCCTCGTTTCCACGTAAGTGATGTTTTCTAGAAGGAAAATGCTTGTCTTTTGCACAACCCAGACATTTTGTCATTTTCCAATCATTTAACCTTTTCGTCAGAGCAGTAAGAAGATATAAGTTGCGATATATCAGCATTTCGATTGTCCTCATCAGTCGCAAACACAATACAAGCGGGATTCATAGACATATACAGGGGGAAAAGTTGGCATACAAATCAAAATGTCAAAATCGAGACCACGATAACCTAATTGATTGTTTCAATAGTTTCTGTGCACACAACACTGGTTGATAAGCCCTAATTAGCAAAGCCACACTAATTGCCGAGATTATCGGATTGTTGTTGCGTACTAACAACTTGAACACAGTCTCCGGGTTCACCTGATGTCGCGTTGCCAAGAGATGCTTGGTGATAGATGATGCTGGACTCCGGTTCACCCTCGGATCCACTCCGTTTTGTTGCGTCATCAGTTGCTCCAACCACCTCAGCACATGTTCAGTTATCCTCTGAGCTAACTGACGATCAGTCCTGCATATGTAAATGCACCGCAACCGCAGGTGAACTGGTAAACGACGTGAGAGGCCGAGCTGACTGATGAGTTGCTCTGACGGTCATGAAGAACAAGGCTTCGCGTTATATGTATGATTCGCAACTGGGCGGTCGCGTAGGTGCGCGTAATGGCTGACCGGAGTTTATGTCCGATATCTTTTGATACATGGTCTCTTTTGAACGGCAAGAATAAGTAAAGATTCTTTTTCTCTGCTGTTAACACCGGTATTTTCTCCTTGGGAGACCTGCTGTGGATCTGAATGAACTTCTCAGGATACCCATTTGACACCAAGCTTTTAAACAAAAATTCTTCTTCAGCTTGCAACATATCGGGGCTGCATATCCGTCTGGCTCTGTAGAAGAGCGTTTTCACCTGACCACGTTTGTATGCGACCGGGGCAAAGCTAGAAAAGTGGAGGTACTGCCCGCTCCAAGTTGCCTTGCGATGAACCGTGCGCTGTGGTGTACCATCGGTCCGTCACTTAATGAGTATATCCAGAAATGGCGGACTATCATGTTGATCCAACTTATGGGGCACCGATAGATTTGGATGAATTGGATTGAGAACTGTCGACAGCCGCGCAAAATGTTCGTTGCTGGTGAAGACTAGGATGTCATTCCACATACCGCTTGTACAACGTAGCTTCACCAATGCTGGCAGTAACTTGTCTTTCTACCAAGCCGATAAAGATGTCTGTTAATACTGGTCCCGGAGGGCGACCCATGGTGACGCCGTCGATCTGTTTATAATAAGCAGTCCCCTCAAACTCGAACCGTATATTTTCCGTGCATAATAGGATCATATCCTTCAAATACTCCAGCGGCAGACCAACAGATATGTTTTGACTCGCGATGAAATCACACAAATTTTCAACCGTCTCACGTAGAGGCACGTTTATGAATAGGGAGTCGACGTCTATTGAGTACATGTGCTGCGCATCCAGCGACACGTGTTCCAGTGTCTCGACTAATTCAAAGGAGTCCTTTTGGCACTACGTGGCCAGAAGTTTGCGTACTGGCTCCAACATTTTCGCTAGCCACCGCGCAACGTTGTGATACGGTGAGTTGTTCATACACATAATCGGGCGCAGTGGGTTACCTTGCGTAATTTGGGAGCGCCCCTCATTCTGGGTGTCTGAGTACCAGTTCGTTTCAATCGCCTGTATTGCGAGTCATTGATGTAACCACAAACTAAGAGAATCTGCAGTTTCCTTGCCACTTGCTTCTCGACCAAGATGTTGTTTTCTGATGTCTTGTCTAACTGGAACTTCCGTCTGTCCTCCCAAATAGATTCCATCTTTGCAATGTAGTCAGACCGGTTCATTATCACGATGCCTGATCCCTTATCCTTCTGCAGAAACATTACGTGACCCATTTGTTTTAACTCTTTGATCGCCACATAGTGTTCGGCTTTCAGACAGCATCTCTGGCTTATCGGCGTGTTCATGTATTGGTTCGCAATATCTACCAATTTTGCCCGGAACCAACCCGCATCTTCCATTGATCTTGGCGTATGGTCACTGAGCTGTTTGTTATCACTTTTGTTCACGCTTTAATCCTGCATCTTCTATTCACCACACAGGACGTTATTCATTTGTTCTCTCAATTGGCCCGCAGCTGCCGTGGGCGTATCGACTGGGATCCACACATGGAACGCATTTTCTGTGGTTTGTTGAGATGCATTACGCAGCGTGGACATTCCCCATCTATGAATGGAATAAATTTCGCCTCAAAACCTATTTTCAATCATTACGCCGTTCTTCTGATCAATTCCATCGGTCCAGATTGTCCCGGGCGTTCTCCAACGGTTATCGACCGTTTAGAAAAGTTCTATCAGGTAAATACTCTCGTTTACTTTGTGCGATCACCTATCATTCCGTTCTTGGGTTTGCGTGTACACGCATATTACTGGAACAAAACTGCATCGATGATACACCACATCTTCGTACAGATAATAGACAAATCTAGTACAGCCTTTTTTGTATGCTTTTCTCTGTGCATTTGTACAGCCCGAGTTCTCTTCGGCGATCAATCTTCCAGCTTGCGTGACTGGATTATTAGGTCGGCTGGAGGTGGAAACCGTTTTCAAATGTATAAAATGCACTAGATGGTGTCGCAATGTAGCAAACTGTGGTGACCAAAACTTTGTTTTGATTTACCTCCGCGACAACATGAAATTCGCCATACAGAGCTTCAACTTAGCCTGCATACCACTTCCAGAGTATCTGGACCTACATGGGACCAACTAAGGCGAGTCCTCATATCGAGTGTCTTGCAGAACTTAACGAACAAGTGCGACTCTTGTTCACGGAATTTATGCGATTGGCCATCTTGCATTGTTCTTCGATTATCTCGGTCCCCACCGCGTTAGTAACAAGGCGGTTTTGTAAGTGCCAAGCAACTACGTGTCGATCGCAACAGAACACTTCGCTGTTAACGTGCCAGTTGGCACATTACTTGCTCTCTTCTCCTCTTCATGTGCTTAGAGGTATCACAAGGATTTCTTTTAGTTCTAAAGACAATTGCTCTTAACAATTTGGAAACTTGACGCTTCTGTCACAATTCCATAGGCACTCTCGACCACTGATCACCTTTCATAATACCGGATGCGCTCTGTATTACTAATCGTCTCGATGTAGCAACGAATGTCCTATACGTACCGCTTTTTATTGCAGCACACGAGGGATTCCGTTTATCGCCGGAGCGATTCATCGATTGTGTATACATGTAGCTTGGCAACAACTACATCCTTTACTTAGTTTGAGTACACTAGACGCTCGATGTCCACCTGTGTTCTCATAGGCTCCTGGACGAGCCCACACACCGTTTTAAGGACACTACAGCACTGCTTACGCTGAAAGCGCTCACTATACATTATTTTCTCTGCTCCGTTCTCTCTCTCACTACCTATCGATTTCCTGCACACATCCACTTGAGATAGCGCTCCGGCTAAAGTCAAGTCTCGAGTTTTTTCACCTGCCGTCATTTTTCTGCGGTTTTTGATAACCATCATAATTTTCAGTGAACTGTGCATTCCTACGCTTTGCCTAGTGTTCTATCTCATCTAATCTTGCTGTCTGTAGCAGATTCCGATTCTTCTACGTACGACATTAATGCTACTCTGATAATAGTACATCACTCTCATTTGTCTATTTTCATCGTATTGTGCCTTCACCTCGATACCTTGTAGCTGCTACTCGTCATTACGAATTAAATCCTAATCGCTATCACTTAAATGCGTAACACTTTCGAGGTGTATTCCTATCACTCTCGTGTGCTGATATATTCAGCGCCTCCATTTTTGGCTTGTGTCACGGCCTCATCCACTACAGTGTAACGCGAATAGGGACTATTCTGTTGTCTCTCATCGGTATATGTCATTTTGTTTATTTTCCTCCAGATATGCTGTAGCTGTCTTTGACTTGTTAATTTCATTGTTGAGTATCTTACTGCCTTCATCTGATCACAAATCGAACAAAGCGAGTTAAACAAGTGCATCCGATCACATTGGAACCCACGTGTCAACTTCCATCTTATTTCGTGAGTCGAACAACGTTCCAAGAAATACCAGCGTCTTTCATTGTTTCCGGATAGCTTTCCATTGCCTTAATAGCTTACATGCCAATTTTATTGATGGTGGCTTGAAAAGGTAGCCATACCTCTGGCGGGCAGCCCTGTTCTCTACACGTTCACGACATGTATAGCAGTGGAGGATGAGCCGCGCTGCATCGCAGTTAGAAGTCACTCATAGAGCAAAGGGCATCAGCATTACGCCGGTACGCAGTACCGACGCCTCGCTCCCGCGCAACCACCACCGGTCGCACGTGGGCTAAGGATACTGCGAGGGTCGCCCGGTCACTACGCAGGCTCGAACCCGCACCCTCAGATTACAACGCAGGTTTATGATCCTTAGGGCTACGGACCGGCTCAGTCATAGAAGTTAGCCGCCGTCACACATGGATCAGTGGCTTATTATTGACTCGCAATACTCAGGTCATGGATTCGGATCTGGCAGGACCCTGCGGACACACGCTATTTATGCTTCCCAGTAGTTCAAAACGGCCGTCTAGCGCTTTCCTGGATATGTGGTGACTGCCTGACTGAGTCTAGCTACGACGAAGTTTCTCAAAAACACAACAAATCCCTCAACTACTCGAATTACCCTACAATCGTTTGTGAAGAAAACCAGCTATGACTTGCCCAAATTGCTTTGCGCTCTGGCGAATCTTCCACCTTTCACAGTCTTTCTCACACATCTTTTGTCTTTTTGTCGGTTTAGTGATTGCAATGTCGGTCAGTAGAACCAATGCATAAATACACGCATACAGTGTCCAATTCAGCACCATATTCTCAAGTGTTTTTAACCAGCGGTGTTCTTCATTTTTGGATCCCCAACCCGGAAGACGTACTGGACCGATTGCAGGTAAACTGGAAGTCAGCGCCTTGACGTTTTATCGTCACATGGTATGTAGCCCACGACGCCATTTCCTTCATTGCGGCCCTGCGCGAGTGGATAGTGCACGACGTGATAGACGCTCGCGCGACATGCGTAGGATGTGACACAGCCACCTCAGTTAACGCAACAGTATTAGTTTGTCCAGAATGGGGCCCGTGTTACCTAAGACGCGGCGTCTAATATCCTCCTTCCAAACGTGATGTTCCCACCACGCACGAGGTATCCTCCCCAGACAACTGTTGTCGAAGGCCTGGATCCGACGCAAATCATTTATACAGATTGACCAGGGCTCACTTCAGTACAACAGTACCACACAAACACAGTGATTGTAGACCCTATCTTGTGCCGTGATTGAAACGTCCCGAAGACGCCACAGATGCCTCAGGTTTGCGCAAACTGACCGGGCTTTGGCAGTACGAAGAGAAATCTCTCTTCTATCAGCAGAGACGTAGTTCCCAAGATGGTTAAAGCTATCTACTTGTTCAAGCTAAGCGCCTTCAAGAATCGGAACTGGGGCAGTTGGATGCCAATCCTGGAGTACGACTTTGCATTTGTGGAGCTTATGTCATGCCTTACTTGGTAGATTCAGTCGGCAAGCGGTCCAGAATGACCTGCATATTCTGTGAGTCATCACCGAGCAAGACAATGTCATCAGCCTTGTCCAGTTTAGTCGCGCGGTTGCCTTGAAGAACCTCTACGTCAGGGTTCTGGAGACTTTCCATAGCGCTTAATAGGACATCCTCCTTCGCAAAGGTAAAGAGAAACGGGGACATGGAGCATCCCTGTCACACAACTCTAGTGATGGCAAAATGTGAGGGAAGCTTACTTTAAGCTCTTACTCTTCCAGAGGCATTACTATATAATGCTCGAAGGATAGAGGTATACTTTTCGGATACCCCATTCTTTTGCAGACGACACCACAAAGCTGGCCCATCGACCGAGTCGAACGCAGTTCAGATGTTCAAAAGGCGACAATACTAGGCTGGCGATAAAGATGGCGCTGCTCGAGGAATCGGTGAAGTGTAAACAAGTGTAAAACACGGCGCAATACTGCACCACATCTCATGAACCGGATACATCGCCTAATGAGGGGAAACAGACGGGGTCACTTAAAATTCCATAATTTATTTTTCTACGGACTATATAAATATGGGTCATCTCATTTTGAACACAACTTATTCCCAGAATCTTTCAGAGCTCTTCTGATTGATCTTCCATCGATAACCACACCCACTTCAAGCAACAGCGATTTCGTGTACCTTCTGAACTCTTTTCCATGTATTAATCATCTTAATATTGCTTCCAAACGTCCAACCTATTGTGCACTTTATTCATCTTCAAATTACGAGTGGGCGTGAATTAAGTGAATACCGGGATGTTCTCCTTTTTCAGGCAGTTGCTCCGTTCTACCATCCGTCCAACCCAACCACAGTGACGGCACTTATAGTCTCGTTCACGCGTAGTCTGGCATCTAGTTTGTTTCACCGCCTGAAGAACGAGCTCCTGCCACCATACGAACAAGCATGCTCCATGGGCTTACCTCCTGCAGAGGTATGTCGATTCCTTTCTCGTATATATTGCCCTTGTATGACCTGTTCTTTGCCATCCTGTTATGTGACATTACCGTACGACCGACAAACTGCAGTCAATCATACAACTCAGGCAACGACGTTCGGACGATATTCAGTAACACCTGTGTTATGTGTTATGTCTCCGTTGATTGGGGAGCTTCTAATTCTTCCCATCAGATTTAGAGCGCATTTCATCATATGCCTGAAATACGATTTTGTGATGAGTTTCCTGAGTGCATCATCATCATCATCTTCATCATCAGTACCTCAGCCATTTGAACTGGTGCTTCGCTGCCATACAACCGTGATGATTTATGAAACAAAGAATAATAAGAGGGAGAGAAGGGAATTTACCTGAAAATCTAAATGCCCTAAGTAAACATTCAGGGTCAAGGCGCCTACTCTATGTGTAGACAACGTACCGTCACAAACAGCTGACTATCATGCAAAGGCGGCATCGACGAGACAGCATCCTTGCGGCTTTCACTGCCCCGCGTCATAATCAGCCATTACCCCACAGATAACACAGCACCAAACACACTGTAAACAGGCAATCCGATTAGGAGACGGCAGCAGACGCGCCACTGGTGTCGGTTGCGAGCCATGTCCTGTAAAGTTTCGAGCCAAGCACAAGGCGAGTCATGTAGAAGCGAACCGGAAGACAAGACGGACCAACGGCACCCAGTTTGGTCGTCAGTGACTTCATTTCTCGCTACCAAGTCAACTTCTGTCCACCTCGGACCTTGCGCCACCCTACACCTGATAGACTGAACAAGGCCCTCCTCGGTAAGCGGTGAGTAGGCATACGTAGCACGAGCCCAAGCGAACGCAACTTATTCAGTGTTAGCTGTTGTTCTAACGAGCTAGCATGATTATCACTACCTAGTATTCGCCTACGCACATCATCGTTGCGAACACGCTGGTGCCATCCGATACCAGCGTGTGCTGCGCAAGCAACGATGATCAAAGACTTGAAGGCGCCTCAGATCTTCAGACCGAAGCAGCTAAGTTTCAATAACATAAGGCAGGATGGCCCTCGCTGTGGCCTTGTATACAGGGTCTTTCAGACGGAGGGAAATTCTCTTCTGTCTCCAAAGATGCCGCAGGTTCAAGCAGACAGCTCTGGCCTTTGTAATGCGTGAGCTGACTTCACTTTCTACTCGCCCATCGTTGCTTATGCAGCTGCCAAGATAACTGAATCGAGCAACCAACTCCAGTTCCTCGTTATCAAGGGTCAAGGGGTAACAAAGTGGCTGGTGGTCCTACAGCAGCACTTTGAAGGTGCAAAGTGCATACAAAATAATGGGACCATTAGGCAGGCTATTCAGAGTTGATCGCGCCGCCTCAACATTGTCGAAAAGCGAGACGATATCGTCCGCAGAATCAAGATCAAGTAATCTTTCACCAGGCAGGAGTTCAACGTCTACATCGTGAGATTCCGCAAGGGAACACTCTATGATAGAGTCCACGACGAAAATGAACAAACCTGGGGAAATAGGACAACCCTGTCAAACGCCACTTGTGGTCGGAAAGCAATCCGACAGTCTACCGTAGACCCTGACGCGGCCTGTAGTGTTCGAGTATAGAGCACGAAGGATGTTCACACATTCCCGCGCAAGTATTTCGAACAGAATGCACCGATCGACTGAATCGAACGCACTTTGAGATCGAGGAACACAGCTATTGTAGGTCTGTGGTATGTGTGGCGCTGCTTCAGTACCTGCCGCAGATGGCTAAATGGTCAATTTGGATCCATCGCTCGCCAGCTGCAGTAAGACGCTAAGTGGCACTTCGGCGCACACTGTGTCTGAAAGCAGTGCTGCTAAGAAACAACTGGTGATCCGCACACAGTTGAAGCAGACACTCATCGTTGTCAGTCCGTTCGGAGTTAAGCGCATACCTACCACCCAGCTGAGCTCCTGAAGAGCTCAGACGCCCTGCTTGTGAGTTCGTATCTCCTACAAGTATTATAACATCTGAACTAGTAGCACTGCGTAGTATTGCGTTCAGTTAGTGATAGAATATGTCCTTGACAGCATTTGAATTGAATTCGGTGTGGGCAGAAGCGGAAATCACATACAAACAGTGTTTTATACTGCTACGTAAATCAACCTTGGCTGATGTCGTCAAACGGGCTGCGCATCAACGGCTGTTCACCGGAATCCAATCAACCAAGAATGGCTCATATTTGTAGCTTAGAATGATACCTACACCAGCTTGACGCGTGAGTGCTGCATCGGCATCTCCGGACGTGTGCAACCAATAACGAGAGGATAAGCCGGGTGCTTTTAATTCCGCAACCCCATTAGGGTCATTGATCCTAGTTTCGGACACACAACACACCTCGATACCCAGTGTGCCCAAGGTGCAGTTAAGTGCAGCCTGTTTACCTATTTGTCTTTGAGTGCGCACGTTGAACGTTGCCATGGAAGCGGGATAGCGTGGTCTTATAAGGGACTTTTGCCAATAGGCGTCCGATAAATGCTGTAAGCTAGTGGCTGCAGATGGTTCTACTCCAGTGGCACTTCGGTTGCTGTCAGTTAAGCTGGGAATTATAGAAGCATAGTTAGTAATGAGGGTTGTGTTGGGAGTAAGAGAAAAAGGTGGAAAAGAAAGAAGGGCTGCACCAGCAGTGGCATGTTTTCACTTATGCGCCCTGTTGTATGCAGCATATAAGGCGACCCTTGATAATCTGCGCAACGGCCGATACAGGATCAAGTTTATGTTTGAAAAAAAATCATGGTTGTATGAGGCTTAGATACTGCCAAGTCGCCCAGTCCTAGACAGGAGGATGATGAGATTTCTCATCCAAAGCCTTTGGCTCAAAAGCATGTCCGCAAGGCAGCGGGGAGGTTCCAATGATTTAGTTTTACAGGAATGGACGCCATCCCATTACAAACCGCCAACCTGAGGACCAGGAGACTGAGTTTGTCTGACCTCTCACCATTGACTAACCTGGTAGGAGTAGCTCTCAAGGAGCCTGGAGGCATCACCCAGTATAGCTCAATGGGTCAATGAGGTACGCAAACCGTCGCACCACGTTAAGGTCCAGTCTCGTTACGCACGTTGACGTCAAGCTGGTCGCGCCTCTTTGTGATGGCCATACCTGTATTGAGTTTGCGATTGGTTTTTTTGGATTCCTATACACTTGCGAACAGATTGCATCTTCACTATGTTTCAGCTTATCTTCACTGCATTTCTCGACTGTCTGATATTGGAAAAATGTGACTATTCCGGATGCGGATGGTGATGAGGTTTCTCTTACACGCCCCATTCACGCCAGTTGTTCATCATTCCGCAGTCTACCTCATTCTTAAATCTTTTCCTCATTTCCCCCAGTTTCGTCTTTCGGTGGCTCAGGTAGATCGCTTGGTACATCTGCTCACCAACATCACTGTGGACTACCTCCTGTTTTGTAAGATTGGCCGAAGCTTGCTATCGGTATTGCAAACCATTGACCTACTATCCCAGCTTCGACCTCGGTTGGTTATGCCTAAGTTGCTGGCTTGTTTGGAGGATGGATTGTCCAGACCCGAGGCTCCTTTGCGTTACACACGCCCGCTTCACGCCTTAGTCTTATGTGTGCCAAGCTTTTCGTTCGTACGATTCCCTCTCTTCCGTCAAGGGTTGTCTCGGTGGGATGATTCGGACGATGTGGACTCACAGGATGAAGTGTTTGAGAAACCGGAGGAATCAGACGATTATGGTTCCGCTGTCGATGTTGGAAGCCCTCTTAGTGATGCCGATGATGAACTCATTGATGAATTGCCCCTTCCCCCCTCTCGGACAAAAACGAAACTAGTAAGCTCCCATTTCTAGGTAATGCACTTCAGAATCGCCTGTTGTCTGACTATTTGGTCACTGGTAATTTGATTTCGCTTTTGGCCTTTCTCCAACTGTGCTTATGCATTTAAGCATCTGTTTTGCTCCTTATTGTGCGATTTTGTCTTTGTACATGAAATACTTTTCACGTTGATAGTCGCTGTTACACAAAGCAGATGAGCTCGCAAACCTACCCATAAAAATTATAACTGTTGTACTTACAAGCTGTGAAGCCATTCCAGGCTATTCCCTGCGTTACCAAAATTGTGGTGCAATCCGTTGGTATACTTCTGCATTGGATGACAATTGAAAGTAGTTTTTTTATTGCTTGTCTACACCAGCGTTCGTTGCATCAGTTGTAATTATACCCACCACTCTCTCTGGTTCGCTCGTTGGATTCTCTGCTAACTTTTGGGCTATGAATCTATTGGCTTGATGTTTCCAAAGTGCTCTCTTGCGACAACATCATCCACATGTTTCACATTGTTACCGAGCGGCATCTTCCACAATCTCGATGGTCTTACACCAACTACGTTGTCCTCGCACTTAACTCAGTGTTTGTAGCGATAAAATCTCCATTGAAAATTAACGGCCTATATTGGCGCACATGCGTTCACGATGCTTCCTCCTCAAGCTTGTAATACCATGGGTGACACCATAAGATTCTGTACCGGGCACTCAGTCTTAGCTGGACACTGGTAAGAAGTATGTGGCAGTTCACCTATGCAGCTTATACGTGATTCCTTGGACCAGGTATCACAATTCAATTGGACCAAGGCTGTCATAATGTCGGGGTGATGCATTTCTGAACGCATAACTCCCGTTCATACGACCGGGTCGCAATGGGCTCTGAACATTCTATTAGGTGCTTTCGGACGCACTGTGATCGATTTTCATGCGCCGAATAGGTGAGGGTTGGTAGGCTAGTCCGGAGGCTCATCGAGCACACATGTTTATACCCACTTTTAGCGATGGTAATGTATCTATCAAGCATAAGAGAAGGCATCAATCTCAACTGGCTTCACCAGATTTATATAACGCAGGTCAATCAGTGAATATCGTCGCACTCTCCTTCCTTATCCTTTAGAAGAAGGACTTGGCGTCGCTCCCCAGCAAGGATCATTTAGAAGCCCTTCTCTATCCACAAGGCCGCTGTGAACTGGTTCGATTGCTCAATGTGCTTTTGACTGGATTCGACCCAAATCTCTCAGATCGATTCAATCCGACTATGGCATGCTTGAGCCGCATCCGTAAGTAGTGCTGCTGTCTCATTGAGATCCATCTACTCACCTAAGTTATTACTTCACTTGTTCTTTTTGACAGCCTGTGATGCCCGACTGCTTAGCAAGCATCTAAAGAAGTATAAAAATTGTTACCTTTTGACTACGGATAATTTCACTTAACATCGATTAGTTTCGCTCTGTCCATTCAATTCATCCTCCGCGGATGACCTCAATGGTCCCATCGAGATGCTTGCTTTGATCAGTGCACTACTGGCGGGCTAGTCTCTCCTCATTTTTCTGCCTCCTTATGCGATTGTTCTCGAAACTCACAGTTAGGGCAACTGCGAGCCTTCGTTATGTCAATGACTTTTGTTCACAAGATTTCACTGTTTCCCCCTTCTCCAACATTCATGCTTCTAAACTCATTACCGCCGCTATAACTTCCATACTTCACAGCCCATCGTGCGGACTATTTCGTACTCCATTCATTTATAAGTTGTTCATTCACATTTGAACTGAGATTGGAAATGACGTGAAACGGATTATTGATGAATTCATGCAACGAAAAGACAGCATAGCTCGTTACTACAGCGTTTTCGTATAAACTGTCCAACCAGTACCATTACAAACGACGCAGTTCCATCAATAACGCTCCCACTTGACTCCACTTAAACAATACTCAGCAACCATCATCTAGCCATCTGAGCTTAGTGTGGTCAATGGCCTAGGCCATTCAGTTCGCATCTGATCGGCTACGTTAGAGGTCTCGCTGGTATACATTTTCCATCCGATACTCTACTTCCATCACAGGAGGCCTCTTAATTGTCATGTTGGTTACCCTGCGTAACCGAATAATCATTTTTCTGTTTATTCATACGTGTTTGTGCTTTGATCTGTTTTATACAGTTTTATCCATCCCAACACAAAACGTCCCTGATGAAATACTACAAGGATGTGGCATCACGGATGATTGCGGGTTAGACCGCATTGAAGAGACAGTCGCCTTGATCTTTGCGCGTACCTTGGAGCACATGTCATTTGTCAGCGATCGGTCCTCTGTGGCCCAAAGCATTAGCGGTGGGACATCTTCAGCCAAGACAGTGTCGACAGATGGATATGTGGTTCAGAGACCTTATGCTGGTCCTGAAGGTCATCCTCGTTTAGCTGCTGACGTATCGGTACTGAGCAGTTTGTCCGCCTTAACGGTTATTATTGCCATCTCCGCTGGACCGAATCCCCGCTTCCGATGTCAGCTCATCCGTTTGTTAATGGACACTGTCTCCGGTGCGCAATTGGATCCCGATACAGCACGACTTGTGGCTTACCAACTTTATTGGCTGTCTGTCAACTCCCGCCCATCTCTCACGTCGCATTATATGTTTGAGAAGTCCTTCTCCGCTGATCCGCAACTAGATACATCCATGTTCGCACTTGAGCAGTTGTGGCCTCATTTTACCTTGCTTCTTCAGGAGCTTCATTCTGGTAAGTTTACAGCTACTTGATGCAGACCTGTATATTTTCCTAGAGAATATAATCCAACTGATTTTGCACTGCTATTCGCTCAACTAGATCATGTCAATTCACTATCTGTCACTTTTATAGTATGGGTTCATTATGACTTCTCTCTGGTCACTAGGCAAATCATTTCTACTATTTTGCACAAACCAACCTATCTTTGAGCTTCACTTCTCCACTTCCTGCTGTTTTATGTACGTCCCTTGATCGTTAGATGAGTCGATTACGTATATCGATCCCACTCTCATTTTATTCCATTTCAGATCAGTGTGTTGTTTACCGTGGGCACGCGGACCCCCGGCTTCTATCATTTCTATACATTCTTCCCGGCCCTCTGTCCGCCATACATCCCTCAAAATTCGTAGAACCAGCTTTCGTAGAGCATTACTTAGCTCCTCTGATTTCTTTGTTGGCTAGGCTGCTCCTTCTTTCAACTGGCGGATCGGTTTCGGTAGTTCAAGGCGTGCTTCCAATTCGTTTGTCCGATTTACCCCCACCTCTTTCTACATCGGCGCTTTCTTGTCCGGCTTTGGCGGAGGCTGCTTCTGGCTTGTTCTCTGTATTGCTTCGTCGGATGATAGCCTATTCCCTCGATCTGAGTAACTTGGACCTCATGCAAACTGGCTCTATAGCCTCGGATCCGGACCACTTATTTGTGACTTCCCCCTGGTGGACCCCATTTGTGAGCTCATTAGCGCTATACAACCAGTGGAAATCCATCCCGAGCTCTAGCGGTTCAAATTCTGACACCGTCTGTGGTCTCTGGATTAAACCTACAAATGAGATGCGATCCTTTGCATGTGGGTTGGTACGTGCCTTTCTATCGCCTATATTACGCCGGTTAGATGCAATACGACACAGCCTTTCGTCGGTGACCGACGTTGATATCTTCTCCGGCTTCGCTCCTGAGTTGTCTGTATCTGACCAGCGCGATCAACTCAGTGCTCTGATAATCTGGGCTAACAATTTGCTCACAGGTCTTGCGGATGACCTAGCACCACGCATGCCGGATGCACAACAAGAAACTCCTTCCACTGTCACTTTCCCCGACAACTTTGTTTCGCCTACAGATCTGCCTTTCTTCGATTGTGAGCTCTTAGATATCGCGGACGCACCTCTTGGAGTTCGGCACTGTATGTTGAAAACCGGACTGGAACTGCTGGAGTGCATCGCAGAATTGTTTCGTCAAGTCGACGACGGCTTACTTCACAAGGACCTTGGGATAACAGATGAAGATGAATCTATGTGTGGAGATGATGGTGAGTTTTTAATGTTTACCCCATTGTTCTTCGTGCGAACATTTCGCCATTCGTTCTACCCTACCTCATGATGCTTGTTTCTTGATAGGAGGTAACCACCAAGTCAAATCCTCGCACATCGTCGGACAGCTGTTCAATGGAAATCAAATTGACGATCTGCTGTGTTTCATCCACACTGCGGCATTCAATCAAACTTCCTCAGAACATTATCCTTGTTTATTGCGCACGACCCGGGGCCCTGCTGGATTGACCGGCATTGACTTTGGTGCTTACTCGTGCCTCGGTTCACCGCCAAATCCCGGACCCGACACAATCAAAGTAATCCCTAGCGTTGGATCGCTTAGCGGTCCGGCCTGCTCTGCAAGCAGATCTTACTTCCCATTTCGCACGAATGATCTATCGGACACACCTCTGAAAGGCCGTCACTTGCTCTCCTGGTTGGCCACTATTCAAGGCCAGTACTTACGTTTACTAGGCATGCGACTTCGACACCCTCTGACGTCTGCTGCCATCCGCGGCGGATATGAGGGAAAAGTAGACAATCGCGTTCTTCTAACACCTGCAATCGAGCGTCTTATCCGCGCGATGGGTTTGTTGTCAACAGCACCTAGGCGCTCTGATATTCGTCTTTGTGTTTCCGGATACCTTACGTCGATTACACTCCCCGAGACATCTCAGGTATTTGCAATCCAGTGAATGCAAGACTTTTTGTGTTATTCATGATGTATCTTTATGCCCATTACCTTATGAGCTCTTAATGCTAGCGCTACGATCAGCTCTTTGCCTTTTTCACTGAGTCTCTCTGCCTCATCATCATGCACATCGAAAGCAGTACATAAGTAATTTGTGTTGATGTTTCTCTGCTGTACAAGCAGAATGAACCAAGGAATGTGAAATGATGAAAGGGTAGAAGGGACCTAGTTTAGAACTCAAACGCCCCTAGTTAGCATTTCGGGGCTACGCTCCCGCACGTCGTCAGCAACACGCGGTCACGAAAGCTGGCTATCTTGCCGAGAGAATTGCATCCATGAGACCGCCTATATTTGTAGCTTTGACTGCCACGAATCATAATTAGACATTACTCCGCAGATAACTATACTGCCTGCGGTCGGGGAGTTTCCCTACCTTGGTTACAGCAAATCTGTTTCCAGGGCTACTAATATTAGACTTCTCCTGACTGCGTCATACCCACGTCAACAGATCATCTTTTAGATCTGAGAGCTCAGTTTACATTTGGTGATCATACGTCTGGTTTAGCACTGCTCCTGAGCAGCTTATCTACCGCGCCACGAAATGTATGCACCAGTTGAGAGATAGATTCAGTCAGCTTGAGAATTACAATGCTCCTTAATTTTGTAGCTTCGAGTTCGGCTACGCCTTATCTAACACGGCGAGTCCGCGAAGTCTTGGACGTCATTAGACCTACTCCTACATCTAACGCAGCGATTCATTGCACTATTCTAACCTCTTTGTACGGCCAATTTCTGTATGGTTTCCTTTTTCGTTTTTTACCTTCGCTTCGCCGTTCTTAACTGTCCCAGCCGTATTGACGGAGTAAATCCGCTGAATCCAACGCGCTTTCGTCTCGAGTTGTATTAGTTTAACGAAGCGAAACCAACCCGTCGGTTCAGTGTTCTATTTCTTGGTCGTTATATTCTATCTCTGAAAAGGTTCGTGTTGTTATATTTGTCTACTGTGTGTTGCTCATGTCATTGCTATGATGTGGTGCTTCAGATGCTCCTTCTTTCATCTCTGTCAGTAATGCTCTGAAACATTTGAACCTGTACAGCCACCGTCCATTCATTCCCCCTATTTTGCCACATGCAAAGGTTGTATACTCGCTTTCAAAGATTATCACTCATCACTTTTATCTCGATCAGGGAACTGCCATATTGGTGTCAATGACTCTGGACCGTTTAGAACACGCAGCGCATTGCGTTGAACATTGGCCCAATTTATCGCCGATGTCCACCGAGCACACAAAGCACGCCAATTCTTCGTCGGAGTCCATGCTCAAAATCATGAGCTTTCGGCGTACAACCGCGGTTTCACTGTTGTCCAACTTGTTTCATGGCATCAAGACTATCCTTCAAGGTGATGAGCTAATTCGTCGCGGTCCCAATATCGTGGCTCGTGCACTAGTGGCTATCTGTGCACAAACTGTCCAAATACCAGCCAATGACGCATCACAGCCTGGTGTTGCACAGTTGACTTCATCGGAAATTCGTTCTCGGCAAACAGCTCATGACCAATTGGAGAAGTTGGTTCTTGCCTTCTTTGACAAATGGACCACGTTTCCATTAAAATTTATCCTCCATTTTCCGTCGAAAATCGCTGAACTACCAAAATCCAGTTGGCTTACTCGTGTTTATGACGAGATTCAGCGACTCGTGCCTGTTTTCGATTCTAGTCACAGTGATTTGTCTTTCAAGATGCCCAACCCGAACATCACTGATTTGGTTTCAATGCGCCGTTCTGTATACAAAAATTTTCTCTCCAGTCTGTTTACCCGCTGTATTTCCAACTGCATGTCTTTCTTGGATCCTACGAATACCGACGTCAAGAAAGGTGCCATCGCTCCGAATGTGGTCACTCGGCTATTCACCCTACTCCCTCGATCTTTGGATGCCCCCCTTACTCCTCCATGGTTGCCCAACATGCTTCTTGTCGCGCCTCCGCCTCCACCCCCACCCACCTCCTTATTAGCTACGGCTTTTCTGTTCATCACCTCACATCAGCCTGATGCCGCCCAATCTGCATGTGACTATGTCACCGACTTGCTGTTCCTCATGCTACTGCGTCATCGTGCACCACCTATCATTCAAATGTCCAGCGACAAACTGGTCTCTCAATTCGCCGGTAGCTCTGTCGCCCAGATTTGTGTGCCTATTCCGGCTCCTCGACGAGACAACGCCTTCTTACTGTTCGATCCAGAGGCTCGCGTGCTTGCCAGCGAAGAGAGCTTCCGCAAGCACCATCATATCCCGGAGACGAGCATCGGATATGTGTGGGTTGTTACTTTTCTTGTACTCGTATTCTGAGATCTACTTATTTGGTTATTCATTTCACTTTCGCTAGAGATTTGTCACAGGCTGTGCACATACGTAAAAGCACCGGACGACCGTTTCGAGCTTTCGGGAATCTTTGAAGGATGTTTGTGAGTTTGCGTTCTACGAAACTTTCGGGAATTTTCGGCAAGGTGTATTTTATCAAGCTATGTGGGGCTAAGCCAAGCGAGTCTGCACTTACGCGTACGTGGTTGAGCCTGTTGGGTCAAAAGGGATGTGCGGCGACCACCGTGACTAAGTAACTGACTGTGCACTTATACCTTACTCCACTGTCATGCGCGTTTCTAACGTGCAAAGAACAGGATTGGCCCGCTGATTCGTCAGCGACCATTAGCATCACAAGCTAACCTGGTCAGCTATTGATTCGTACAGAGTAGTGAGATGTCAGATTTCGGTCAGCTTTTGCTGGTGTTTAAGCGCTCATGGCGATCAGAATTGCTTCGAACCAACGGACGTGGGTTGCGCGACCGGATGCCATCTGTACACAGAAATTCGAGCCAGTGTTTGCTACATCCTGTCTATTCTCCTTCACTCACTTTGTCACCTCCGGATAATTCTCATGCCTTAGTCCTATTCCCTATTAATACCCCGGTAATCCGCTTGCAATTTCCGTTCCTTTTATCAGATGCAACCATTCATTTCGGACCTTTTGTCTGATCTCCAGTCGTTGCCGTATGTTTTCCAAGTAGTATGTTTTTTAGTGCTCAATCTAGAATGTGGAAGATAGACCTTTATTTTACCTTGTGTCTTATTCCATGGAGTTGTGCAGGACAGGTCATGACCGGATTTCAAAACAGGCTGTCGTACATGTATAGCTTTTCTCTTGTAAGTATTGCTGGATTATTAACGTTTACTTAGCTTCAGTCTACCTGGTTTTCTACGCGGCTCTTCCCTGTATGTCTGAACGTCACTCTAATTCCAGCTATTTTCCACCGACTATCGAATTGGAGGATCCGTATTCTCTCTCATCGTATCCGGTTTTCAATCCCACCACTGGCGAACTTGACGAGGCGCACTCCATTTGGCTGGATCACCTTGACAGATCCGACGATGAGGGTCTTCTCACTTCTTCCTGTTTGCAGTACCTGGCCAACCAACTTGCTAGCCCTCGACGGGATACCAGGGAATTTTGGTCCCTGTTGGCCGATCGCTTGCTTTATCTTCATCGAAGACCAAGCAAACAGCTCTTCCCTCTTGTTCGATTTGTTCAAGTTGTTTCTGCGACCTTCGGGCCTTTCCCACTGCTGCATCATTTGGAGCACTTCTTTTCCGCACTATTATCCGTGAAGCCTGATGGAACATCCAAGACGTTTGATGGCATCACAGAAATAGTTGGTTGTGTTTGGCTTCGTTTGGGTCTGGTGGGTCTCACCGTTGCTGCTCTGAAGTGGCCACGAGTATGGCGATATTATTTCCTAGCACGTGTGTTGCCACGGATTCTTTGCCTCGCCGAGCTCAATGCACTGTCTGTATCCACAAGTGGGCTGACTCACACTGTGATCCAAAACCTCCACCCGGCTCTTGCGCAGACTCTTGCCTTGCCGTTGCTCTACGCTGGAACATATGGCGGTGCCGGAACTCCTCCAGAAAGTAAGCACTTTTCCTAGCTACTCCATTGCAGTCAGTTGGAAGGCGCCCCTTTTTCCTCTGCTTTGGAATTGACAATTTCGAAGTCACTCAGGGGCGTTCTTACTAGTTCACGTTATATTATCTATCTATCTATAAATATATATATATATATATATATATATATATATATATATATATACGCTGAGGCTGATGTTGCATTCTTGATGCTTCTTCACCGCAGTTGGGCTAAACCAACTCACACTTAAACTAGGTCTTTTTAAGCTGTCTACATTTCATTCCGCTTTATTTGGTTTGTTCTGCCTCCCTGAATAATGTTCTATTAACTGGCCACGTTGCTTACGCTAATTGCGCTTATCTTCGGTAATTTTGTTGCGTTTGTAGCATTTTTAAGTAACTTGTGGACATTTCTCACTTATCACGGATTTGTTGCTAACCAACTTACTTCATATGGTAATTTAGCGAAGAGTTATGCCACCGTATCTGTATGCATTATTGGATTTATTTTATTTCAGCTTGTCGTTTAAAGTGAATGGCTGTTGTTTGATATCCCTAGTGTGGTTGCGCTTGATGTGTATGTTGACAAGGTGCCTATCTGTCTATTACCCACTGCATCGTTCTTACTGGCTCCAGGACACAGTTGGTCGTTGCTGGAGGGGACGGGGTGCACGGTTCTTGTGGCCGTGCTAGGCTCAAAGAGCGGTTCCATGCACTCAGTGTGGAGCGGACTACGGTCCAGCCACCGCCTTGTGTGCTGTTGATTCCCCAAATACAGCGTGCTTGTGTTTGCCTGTGAAGGAGTGTGGGCCGGCTCCGTTGATGAAACGTGGTTCCCATCCGCATGCCTCCCGGTCTTATTCCTTCGGGTTTACACTGGATATGGGGTGTGTGGTTGGAGCTGTGGGTGGTGCAGCGCAAGCCATCCATGGTCCCTCTGTAGGCGCAGGCGTCCTGTGGCCAGCCAACCATATTGTTGGCGGCATCCGGTTTTGGATTTGCCTGTCTCTGTGGCCAGCCACAGGACGCCTGCCCCTACATTGGGACCATGGGTGGCTTGCGCCGCACTACCCACAGCTCCAACCACACACACCATATCCAGTGTAAACCCGAAGGAATAAGACCGGGAGGAATGTGGATGGGAGCTACGTTTCATCAACGCAGTCGGCCCACACTCCTTCACAGCAAACACAAGCACACTGTATTTGGAGAATCATCCGCACACAAGGCGGTGGCTGGACCGTAGTCCGCTCCACACTAAGTGCATGGAACCAATCCTTGATCCTAACACGGCCACAGGAAACGTGCACCCCGTCCCCTCCAGCAACGACCAACTGTCTCCTGGAGCCAGTATGGACGAGGTAGAGGGTAATAGACAGGTAGACACCTTGTCAACATGCACATCAAGCGCAGCCGCACCAGGGATATCAAGCAACAGCCAATCACTTAAGAGGAAGATAACAAAGAAAATAACTCGAGTAATGCATAAGGAGAGTGTCATATATCTTAAAGTAGTGACCATATGAAGTAAGTTGTTTACAGAAGAATGCGAGATAATTTCACAAGGTGAGAAAGTATACTTCGGAAATGCCACAAATACGAAAATGTTATCGAACTTGACTAAAATTGGCTTAAGTGACGTGCGCAAGTTTATAGAAGAGAGTATAGGTAGCCATTTATATGAGAAAGAAAAGCATTTGGACAAAATTGAAAACTCACCACCTGAAATAAATAGACTTAGCGTGCAAGCACGCGGTTAGTAAATCGAATGCAGCGTACCTACAAACGCTGCGCCGGTTCTGCCTACGTTCTCTGCAGGACCCGTCGTCGCTTCGGTAGTGGTCCCGAGTGGCCTCGCTCATGGCTCACTAGACATAGACACATAGACATATATATGAGAAAGAAAGGCATTACGACAAAATTGAAAACCCACCACCTGAAATAAATAGACTTAGCATGCAAGCACGCGGTTAGTAAATCGAATGCAGCGTACCTACAAACGCTGCGCTGGTTCTGCCTACGTTCTCTGCAGGACCCGTCGTTGCTTCGGTAGTGGTCCCGAGTGGCCTCGCTCATGGCTCACTAAGCCTGCCTGACTCAGGCACTCGCGACCGCATGTGCTTCAGCACGATGCGCTTGATGTCCATGGAGTACAACCCATTGGTGCTTGCCGCTTCCGCACTTGCCGCTTCTTCTCCGCATGCATGAGGGCTTTCTCCTGCACCTCAGCAACTTCCTTCGTGATCAGATAGCACCATTCACGCCGATCAACCGCCTTCGATTCCCATGAATCTAATCATATATATATATATATATATATATATATATATATATATATATATATATATATATATATATATATATATATATATATATATATATATATATATGGAATCTAACCTAGGCCGGTTTCGAATTTAGCGCTTTCATTCCTCGACCAATTCATCGTTTGGCCGCCTTTTCTCATCTTCCATTCACACCCCCGGCGCGAAAACAACGCAGTAGGTGGCCCAGCCATCGGACCCCGATGCGTGAAATAACGGTGCTGAGCGGTTCATTTCCTTTTCCTGTGCCATAAGTAAGGAGTCGAACACGCTCATTACTCACCCGGTGTTCCCAACAGATATGAGTCAAACTGCGAAGGCACCGATGATCGAACCTAACTAGCCTGCTTATGTCTTTCGACTTGATTGGCGAGGTTTCTCAACCGCACAATATGGTTGGACGTACGACTGTATTTTACACTCTATCCTTCAGGGAGATTGATGTCGCGCCGGCGCTGTAGGTGGCGAAGGCTGGCAAAAGTGCCTCGAGGTTTTGCTATGCGGTTTGTGACCTCCACTTCTATACCACGGCCGCTAACACAGCTGCCCAGTTAGTTGAATTGTAGAACGACTTCTAGCTGATCCCTACCAAGAGTCTGCGCAGGAGGCAGTCCTTGCCAATCTTGGAGGAAAGCTTTGCACTTTGAGGGTGCAACGCAAAGTCCGAAACAGATAACAGCCAGCGCTAATCTGTCTAGTGCTGCTTAGCATGTTTGTGAGCCGTCACAGATGAGGGCAATGCCATCAGCATACTCAAACTCAATAAGTCGTTTACTTGGGATCAACACCTAGGTCGTGTAATGTGAACGCGATTTACATGACTTCGTCAACAGCGAAGTTGAACAGAAAAGGTGACAGCGGGCATTCTTGTTTTGCACCGCTGGAGCTATTTAGAGTCGGCGACAGGTTGCCGTAAACCCTCACTCGGGCCGAACTACGCGCGTATAACGCTCGGATAATATTAACAGATCTCTCGGGCACACATTTCCTGAGCAGACAGCCCCAAAGACCACATTGATCAACCGAATTGAAGGTGCCTTTGATGTCGAGGAACACGACAATGGTGGGCCGCCAATATATGTGACGGTGCTCCAACAATTGACGCAAGGTGATGATGTGGTCGATGCAGCCACGACCTCGACGAAACCCGGCTTGCTTCTCACTAAGCTGACTTTCACTAGTGCCAGTCAATCTGTGAAGGATGACAGACGCAAGCAATTTTGAGACGTTGGAGATCGGACTGACTCATTCATGGTTGCCGCATTCCGAACTGGAGCCTTCCTTGAAGATCGGACAGTAACTGAGCGACTCCAATCGGTTGGGACAGCTTTCTGCTCCCACAGTTTACTAGTAACTGTGTAACTTATCGACAAGAGCAGGTCCCTGAATTCGAAGAGGCCTGGATGAAGATCTTCTGGTCCCGCGGCCTTGTTCAACCTCAGCAGTCCGGTCTTACGTTCAGTCCCTGAGCGAGAGGGGGGATGTCAAGGGAAAGCCAAGGGAGCAGGGCAATCAGTGGCCGGAGAGAAATCTGACAATTCCAGCCGATTTCGAAATGCTCAGCCCAACGCTCCAAGCGTTTTGGCAAGTTGTGGATAGGCTGTCCACTCTCGTCACGTATAGTTTCACTGACATCAGGTCTCCTACTGCCCGTTTCCCGTATCAAACGGAATAATTTACGATGGTTACCGAGGGCAGCGGACACTTCCATCTCTGACGCACGAAGAGACTATCAGGATTCGCGGTCTCCTCAGGCTAGCAGGGAGTTTTTCTCTGAGGTCTTTGCGGGTCTTATTATGTTCGCTTCCAGCCGGAATATGACGGGTAGCATCGATAGGTTCCAGTAACCGCGAAGAGACCCAATGTCCATGTTGGCTATTAGACTTACCACATGAGGATTTGCCTGCTGCTACTAAGGTCTGGTGAACATGCGGCTATTGTCCTTCAACTGTCTCTAATGAGTGCTTACTCAACCCGCATGTCAGCGTACTTCGATGCGCATTCAGAACAGCTGGTTTCGCCAAGTGGCTGGTGTCCATTTTGCTCATAGCGTCGCTGTGGGAGTCCTCCGAAGCGCACCCGCATATCAGCATATACAAGTGCATGATCAGTGTCTACACATCCACACGTGGACGCAGTCTCTCTAGCATTAACCATGATCGAATTGCGTCCAAGGCTGGTCTGAGACTGGCGGTCCCCCTGTCCCCTTCCGCCAGGTGCTGTGTCGGAAGTTAGTGTGCTCGCAAGAAATAAATGAGCACCTTCACACGAATGAAGTAACCGCTCACCGTTATTATTACGGAAGCCTACACGATGTTGGCCGCCCAGATGCAGCTCATCGATGGGCAATTTTCCAACTTGAGCGTTCAGATCCCCTGACAGCACTACAGTGTCCATGCTTCTGGGGCGCGGGAGCTCGTTTAGTTGGCTTTTACCGAGTCATCGCTACAGTTTGTGGGCGCGTAGGCAGCGATGCCGAACAGACACGTTTTAGCCTTGCGTGACTTCGAAGCTTTGGACGAGCCAGCTAAACGGACCGCACACATCCGGCTACTGATTGGGATCCAATCAACCAGAGCAGCTTCAGCCTAGGGACTCAGGGTAATACCAACACCGGCTTAGCCGGTACTCGAAGCTGCATCGTTTCCGTCCCTCATGGGGTTGAAACTTGACCCATATTAACCAAAGTGTTCTTGTCTTTTCAGCTTTTTGACCATTTTACCTGCAGAACATCGCTGGTGTCGGATGACACCAACGTATGTGAAATGATATGATAGTGCGCACGTGAGTACCGAGCAAGTTCGTTAGCCCACAAATAATTTGGTTTATTGTTTACGTACCTTGCTTTCTCGACAGCCTTTCTTATCTGGATTAAGTTTCTGTCTTTTGCGGTCGGCGCCGTGCTACTATCTTGGCATAGACGTTCCCATTCTCCCAGATATAGAAGGAGAGCTTTCTGTCTCTGTGATGTCGCTGTGCCTCAGCTAGGGCTGCATGTGTTTGTGAACCTTGATGGTGTCCCACATAAAGGTTTTCGCTTTATGCTACAACTATTGAATGTTCACATCACGCATCTGCACGTATGAGGTGGACTTACTGTGGAGCTCTCCGAGGTTCTAAACAGAATCCTGGCAGCGATCGAAACATGTTTTTAGTACCGAACAAACAATAGAAGCGCTATTCCATTGTAGTAGCTTTTCACCGGGTGGTTATCATCTTCCGCCCTATGCCGTCTGCATAATTTATTTGCTCTCCACGCATTGTCAGTTCGTTATGCTCGACTTAGCCCACCCGGGTGCTGTATGGGGCCATGTTGAGTCCAGTTCCTGCTGTACTGCATCTACTCAACTTTGTTCTTTCGGCCCGTGCAATTCTGATTGGCTTTCTGTTCACTGATCGGGCGTCGATTCCGTTCACGCAGCCAATCAGCCGTCATCTCACCCCGTGTCATTAGTTACGTTGATAGGCGCGCGAGTGCAGTTCGTTCGCTGTTGCCCAGATCAATCCGCTCCCTCTCTATCTGGAACCACAATCTTTATGCTAGGCCCAGTCAAGGCTGTCTTGTCCATCTGGCCGGTGCAGTAGTGGACAGTTCTTGTTGATAACGTTTGATTTGTTAACTACTACCTCTTTCTAAGATGCAACAGCTTAAGAACATTTAGCGAGTCTCTGCTCTTCGATTGTATGCAACTTTTTAGTGGATCTGGAACTTATTTGTAGAACCGCCTTGCTTATGGAGAATTTGAACAGTTTGAAACAATTAGATCCCTTTAGTAATTTTAATAAAGCTGTAAGAAGACGAAAACTATCGTTTTATATACTTTCATATTATTGTTGGCACTGAAGAGACAATACGAAATGTTAACATCTGCCAGTTTTGTCTTACTACAGTTTTATTCAAATTTGAGCAGTTATCTGTTTTCGACGATCTAACCATACAATCTGATCAGATGGTCTCTCGACCTTACTTGCACTGTAATGAAATATGCCATTTATTCGTTTATTTTACTGCTGTTATTATTATCATTTTAAGTAACTTGAAAATTCCCATTTAAGTCTCTAGATCAAAAGACTATTTTGACTCATCCTGTTTCATGTTCTTTATTGTTCGCCACGACTGGATCGATCTTCTGAGTGCACCCATGCAAGGCGTATTTCCATGTGTTCACTGATGTGTAATAAAAACTCTGTCCTCGAGGGAGACAAGTGATGTAACAGACTGGATGGATTGGTGTCCTTACCGCATACTAACAATCCTAACGATGAGTTAAAGAGGCCATGGCTTACATGGTTTTCAGCCACAACGGCACACGGCCATTTGAGGCATAGAAGTGCCGGTGAGACTTCTCGAAGGATTACCTTGCATAGAAGCAGCTCCTCTGGATAACGGTTCTATGGACGGCCGTATTCTTTCACTTGAATGTCTGGCCATGTATGCACTTATTATTGTTGCTAGTTTACTGATCTTCCTGATACATTTAACCCGTAAATTCCTTTAGGGAACATTCTTGAAAAACTAACAATTGTCTGTTTTGTGAGATCCTGCCGTACAAATTGATCTGACCACTCGGTCGAACTGTGACTCGCATTTCCGACGGAATATGCTGTTTATTTGAGTATTTCTGTCTGTTGGCTTCGTGTCGGTTACGCCTCTCTTCCAGCTAACGGATACCGTTACACAGCTGACACCAAAGGAATTTCTAACACTTTCTGATGAATTCGGGCTCGACGCGCTCAAATCTGCTGGTCAATAGGAGACCTATGCCAGCCGGCTATCTTTAACTCAGGAGCACCTCTACTTCCTTCATGAATGCTTGAGCAGACAAGTTCTGCCGCCAAGTATACAGTAACGTCCAGCAATAAGCAGCCCTTTGGCCTGGAAACACAGAAGAACACGGACGACACATGTTACGTATGCTGATCACCAACGCACATAACCAAAGGCAAAAGTATCTCCGAACGATTGACTTCCAAAGGGAGTTATGCTTATCCAACCTCGGCACAGAAATGACTACAGAGCTTGAAAAGGTGATATCCATCAAAACGCTTAACACCAAACTCCACACAAAACAGAAACTGGAAAAGAAACTAGAGCGAATTTCAAAACCTAAAGCAATGAATCAAGATGATGTATGGATTACGAATTTATCCAGAAGAACCCTGTCGGATGTAGAAAAAGCAGTAGTGGTTCGTGTCATGCAATTCAACTGCAAAGACTCCAATTCCATCAATTTCTTCGCAGAGCTTGAGACAACACTGAGCTCATGCAACATCACAGCTGACGCCCAACACGCGATCAGGCACAGTATCATTCCAGCACTGAGGCACAAGAGTGAAACCAACATGTTCAACACAACTGGACAAAAAGCGTTGAGAAACCATAGGAAAGCTACAGATATTGTTATCTTACCGGATGATAAGGGACGTCTTACTGTTGTAATGGACAAAGCTGATTATACGAAGAAAGCGCAAGAACTTCTCCAAGGTGTGAACACCTACCAACCAGTAAACGAAGATCCCACAAAGCGATTGGAAAGCAAAATCAAATGCACCCTACAAAATCTGGAACAAATGGGATAGGTTACAAAACTAGAACACAGCAAGATGAAACCAGAGGATTCGGTGCTACCGCGATTCTACGGCCTGCCAAAAGTTCACAAATGTGGAGTCCCCCTCCGCCCTATCGTGTCGTTACCTGGAGCTCCGAATTACAAATTTTCCAAGCAACTCTGGAAGAGATTGAAGCACCTGATCTCTGGCTCGGAACCTTCCATACAATCTGCAGAACAATTTCTGGCTAACCTCAGGGAAGCATTAATAGAAGAGGACGAAATCGTGGTTTTCTTTGATGTAACAGCTTTGTTCACTTTAATCAACACGAAGCTGGCGAAGCAAACGATGGCAACACTACTGGACCAACGCGGATTCTCAGACACAAACCATAAAATAGATGCCATCCACATGATAGAGTTGTTGGATTTATGCCTCACGACACACTTCAGTTTCAACGGCCAAACCTACAAACAAATAACAGGCACGCCAATGGGTTCACCGATATCTGGACTATTGGCCGCAGCGATGATGCAAGCATTGGAAGAAACCACACTCCCGGTCGCAAAACCTAAACTGGCTACGCTACGAGGACGATACTTTTGTCATCCTAAAGCGCTCGAAACTTGAAGAAACACATCAGCTAATAAACAACACATTTGCCGGTATCCGTTTCACTAAAGAAGAGGAGAGCAATGGTCAGCTACCATTCTTGGATGTGTTAGTAAAAAGACATGCTGCTGGACAACTGGAGACAACAGTTTATTGGAAAGCGACGCATACAGACCAAATCCTGAATTATCGCAGCAATTATCCAACAGTCTACAAGCGCAGCTGCGTAATAATTATTTAAACGAGCGCAGACATATTGCAGCACCCCACAGCTGAGGAAAGCGGAAGAACATCTGTTCGAAATGTTTACACGGAATGGGTATCCTAGGAATTTCCTTCTACGTTGTTTAACATCAATAAAACAACCGATGCATGAAGAAACATCAGAAACGGATAGAAGGACAGTCATTCTGATACCTGAACGGCGTCTCTGAGATGGCGGCGAGACTGCTACTACATTTCGGAATCAGAGTTGCTCACAAACCGACAGAAACTATCCGAGACAAGCTCTTTAATGGTAAGGACCGGCTTGGCAAAGAAGAAACAAGTGGTGCGATTTATAAAATCCACTGCAAAAATTGTAACAAATACTATGTGGGCCAAACAGGAAGAAAGCTCGGCACTAGGCTACATGAGCATAGCCTAGCCATCCGCCGACATGACCAGAACTCCCTGATGTCGGTACATATGGATGCCGAGAATCATCAGTTTGATTTAGAGAATGTCAGGATCATAGGCAGGGCAAAATGTCGAAAAGCACGCGAGTTCATCGAGGCTTGGTACTCGGGGTGGAACTCACTCAATAGACACTTAGATATTGATACTGCCTATGAAGCACTGAGGATCAAAACAATACTCCGCCCCAGATCAACAGGACAAGGGAACGTCATTGAGGCGGACTCTAGCCAACAGGTGATTGACTGCATTCATCTCATCACATGTTGGTGCTATGTGCTGTTGTTTGACCGGTTGTGAACACCCCTCTTTTGTGCCACCTATCCTTATGGTTGTGAATCGCACCTTCTTGTTGCAACAGTCACTTGTACTGCACATGTCCCATACGTATACGGAGTAGCCGAGTGCTGTTCCCTTCATACACTGATCCGTAAACGGTCTTTCTATTTTAGTGTATTACTAGATTTCGTCATGACATCCTTACCACTTGATGAACACAAACTGCTGTAATCTGCCATCCCGAGTTTATTGAGACCAAAGGTTTTTCCCATTTCCCTTCTTTGCAGGTGACCCCATGGTCCCACCCGATCCTTCCATCAAATCAACTGCTACCGATCTCTCCTCGTTACCACAAGCACGTCCCTGTTCCGTCAACGCCGTCACTACTACAGCTGTGTCACGATCACAAGCAGGAGGTCCCATGAATCGTTTAGCTTTCACCTGGGAGCTCTTATTCGGTTCGCTTTGTCATACCGGGGCGGTTGACTTCAGCTGTTTTCACCCTCTTTGGGAATGGATCCAGGGGGGTTTAGAAGAGTGTGGAAGTGACGAAGAAGACGGGGACTGCGAAAAAATGGCAGAGAAGAAATGCTCGCATGCGTACTATCCCTCATTGACTGCTGATCAACTTAAAGGGGCAATTGATGAATGTCCAACCTGTTTGCTCAACCGATGTCTCCCGCTTGCACATCGTCGCGTTTTCTACGCTCGTTTGTGCGCTACGTTTATCATCTACACTGGGTGGAAAGGAGCCAAGATGTTCCCTTACTTATCGAAGTGCGTCTCCGGTGCAGTTTGGTCATCACGCCTGAATGGAGACCCATTGCCTCCTTCCAACTGGTTCAAGGCAGCATCGGATGATTCCGTGTGGATTCGCGATTTGGCTGGTGGCATAGCTGTTTTTCGTGCAGCTATCTCCCACGAGGATGTGTTTTACGCCCCACGTGTGCCTTTGCGGATCTTACCTTACTCCGATGAGGACAAAACCGCTCAACTTTCAACCAGCGCGACTGCTCTGAAGGAGGCAAAGCATTTTTTAGATGTTCTCTTTTCGCAGATGAAAGACACAGAGCCTGTGGGATCACCGTTTGTGCATAAAGTGGTGCGTTATTTTTCCTCATATTCGTCTCGGTATCTAGCATTTCGCGCAATCACTAACTGCATGTGAAATCGTTTCTCGTAAAACAACTTGTTTCCTATTCATCCCCTATCATACCGGTACTGGGTGTGTTTTACTCACTCGCGGGTGCCGTGCTCTCATGATCCTCGCGGATCAGCCGTAAGACGTGCTCCTCACATAGGCGACTGTGGATGCGTGAATGTGCTATAGCTGATCGAATGAGTTACACATCCTTCGAATTCGTAGACATCTTAATCGTTCCCATCACCGATATTCCTTGTACTTTTAGCAACTTTTGCTACGGCTTACTTCATTTCAACCTATCTGCGCGGAAGTGCACTTGATACCTTTGCTTCGACTCACTTTTTCAAAGCGATGACGAGATTGATCGCAATAAAATTAATGCTAATTCAAAATGAACGGGAAAAAATCAAACTGGGGTATAGAAAATTAAGACCCAGAAATAACGCATATATATGCATCCCCTATGGGGGATGTCTAACCACTGATGCGTTTATCCCCAAATCTCCACCCAAGAGGACGATAGGTTCCAATCCTACCTAAACTTTCAGGGTCTTTCATCGTGTTGTTTGTTCCATTCCATCGATCGCCCCTCTTAGAGTTTCATCCGGTCTTGTGGAATATTGATAAGCAATCAGCGTTGTAGCAGCCGCCTTGTACACATACGAAGGATGGAATTCAGCCAGTCCAAGTGACGCTAGTGTGGCAGCAAGAGTTCTGTTATTACACGCCAGCTGACAACTTTCAGTGTGAATTATTCGGTTCTCTTACCACACCTGAACAACTCTTCACAGGCATAGATAGTCAAACACGGCCTACCTCTTGATGTCCACAGTGCACATGGGCTGTGTGCCTATTCCGTACATCAGCACTGGCCGTACTGCAACGCCTTGGGCATTATCCTTAACCAACATCGCATCGTTTGCATGAGCGACAAAGTATTTGAAATGTTACGGGCCTTACCAATGCGTACAATAACCTTATTGTTGATGTGATCACCAGTGGCATATTGCTAGACCACTACGACCATTCGCTTAGCGATTTTGTGAGCTAATGGCGTTGCCACTAGGTCACTCAGTCGATATCCTGCACTTTAAAAGTGCGCATTGCTGCGATACATAGCAGCTGGGTCTGATCAAGCCGAGTCAAAATGTGTTCTATACACCCATATGAGCGCATTTTCATTCCTACACCTTATTGCTGCGGATATTATACGACAGTACATCAACGAAAAGCACAAATTGGGAAGGAAAATATAAAAACTACGTTTTCACTCAAGCTCACGCAACGACCACCTCATTCCTATCGGGTAGATTAATAAGCGCGATAGGAATGGCAAGACAGAATTGCAATACGACGAGAAAATAAACTGTTGTATGTTGACTGCATAGTACAATTAGATACCGTACTGGCCAAAACCGTATGTAACGTGCAAGGACCTTGGATGAAGAGTTACTGCATGCGTCGAGATTTATGCTGACGACAAAGTTAACGAGGAATGGTTTATTTTGTCCATAACATTGGGGAAAATTTTAGTGAGCGTAAAGACATAATCCCGGGAAAACAACGGAAAGAGTATGGTCAATGTGGAAGGATACGTACAGTTACAGACCATAGAAATATAGAACGGGGAGAACATATTGGGCCCGAATTTTTTGTCAAGTTTCAAGAATATGTGTGAACCAGGAAAGATTGTGAAACGAGAAAACACCGGGGTGATTTGCGGTAGTTGAACGAGGTATTCATTGATCAACTTGATCAAAG